AATATCATTGGATGGTGAACTGCTGCCAAATGATTAGTGGCAAATAAACCACCTCTATGTTTAGGAGACAAGCACATGTGGCTGAAAGCTCTGGTAAAGTTAATAAGTGGACCTTGAGTTTTAACCAACAAAAAGCACTATGGCTGGATGTCCTCCTGATGTGTTTTAAAGTCTGCTCACCATTTCACTGGACATCAGTGTCAGTGTGTACTGTTCACAGTGAAAGAAATACAATTCTTGGGAACAACCAATGTGGTTCTGTCAAAACGCTCCCCCAATCTTTACTGTACCTCCTGGATTTCTTTTTCTTTTATAAACCAAGGCTGATTTCCTCTGAATGTAAACATCCTCGGGTCCTGTCTGATTTTATCAGCTGTTGTGATAAGTGTTTATGATTTGTTATGGCTAGCTGGATCTTATCTGCTCCTTATTCTGTTCAAGATAGTTTAATGAGTTTGAATAGACTAAATATAGAAATCACCACTGCACTGATACCAGCAGCACAGTCACTATTCAGAAAGATGAATCCACTGAAAGGGATCTGGCTTCTACAGAGTCATGCCCCACCGCTGTGATCAGAATGAACCAGGTAGTTTTCATCTTAAATAAAAACAGCAATCACATGTAGAACTGAAAAATCCACACAGTTCCACTGACCTGTCACAACATCTTAAATCAAAACAAATGTAGGGCTGAACACTAAACACTTCCTGCAGTTTGCGTATTTCAACTGGTTCCAACTACTATATAATCTTTTATAATCCGTAAGATAATGTGCACTGTTATAGTTCAGTAAGCTGACTCAGCAGAACCATAGATGTTTTCTTACAGTCCACTGACCAAATACTCAGGTTTTATTCATCAGAAACAACCTTTTCATCTGTGAGTAAAACAGTCCACTACACATATAACCGATTATCTAAATACAATAGAGTATGTGTAGTGATTTGAAAATGTGTTTAAGCTGCCTGAAGTAACCAACCTGTATATTCCTCCACATTAACCTCAACATTTCATGACTGCCTAAAGCTCATTGTGTGACTCCAGTGGCTGTAAGTCATTGAAACTGACTCTGGTGTTTGTGTTTGCTTGCAGGTAGGGATGAAGAAGAGGGTAAGTTGTGACATCACAGACATTTTCTTTATTCATCACCACTGCCTGATATCACTCACTGAAATGTCTGACATGGTTTCAATGAAATGACAGCATGGGCTTGATCTTTGGATTCTTAAGTTTCAATGAGCACCGTCACAAAGAATAATCTCATGAATCCCTTTTTGAATCAGTCAAGGTTCTAAAATTACAGCCAACAGTGGGAAAGAAAGTACACGGATGACTTAAAAGTAAAAGTAGACCAACGAGGCCATGTGGATCACAGCTTCTGTGCTTTAAAATGCTATTATTCAAAAAGAGCAGAGCAAGTTTAGTAAGTAAAAATAAAACCTCAACTGAGCGAGGAGCATATGAGAAAATCAAAGCTTGTATCTTCTATCTTTCTGTGTAAGGACAAAAAGCATAGATGTAACAGCCACATATACACATTGCGCAAATGTTTATTTCTAAGTAATAACTTGATAAGATGCCCTAAATAATTTTGGAGCTTCCCAGTTCTGTTGGACCAGCTCAGTCTTTGGCCTGATTAACTTTCCATAGTGAAATTCATCCCTGCCCTCTGGCTGTACACACTTTGAAATCCTCCTAACGCTTGATTACACTTACACTGTTCACTTTGACAAACTTGTCATCCTGTGTAATCAGTCCACTGATTTTAATGTGCTGACCACAGGGCTCGGTCCCTGAACCAATCCCCTCGTGTGACACCACTCAGTCCCTCGCCTCTCTCCCTCTGACTCTTTTCCTTATACCTCTTGTTACAACTGGATTTGTTTCTACTAAGAACTTGGAATTTGAAGGCCCTGTGCTCCAGTTCAAACTGCTGACTTGTTACAGTTGCCTCATATCTAAAGGCCAGTTTGTGGTTTCTGCTTGCCGTCCGACAAATGCAGACATTTCTGCTCATTATACAATCAGACATGTTCCACACATGTTGCTCGCTACAAAACATGATTCTGAGCTCCTGACATAGGCCCATGATGGAATTTACATCATGTGAATCTTTGTGGAGGCGGAAACTATGAATTTGGCCTCTAGACTTTTTCTCATAGAGCACTCAACATCGATATCAAATGTATCACTCCAGCAGCTTCTATCCATTTTTCACAAACTCATGTACACAGTCTCTGTGTTTGAATTAAGATTGACGGTGACTTTGTGTAAATTGAACTTAAATTTCTTAAAGCTAAATCTCTTCTTCTCTTTCTCTAACTTTGTGTCTTTACTCTTTTCAGTGTAATGCTAAAGCTAAGGTCCTCTGTGGCCGCAAAGGATATCCATCATAGAACTGGAATCTTTGGATCTGACCGAGAAAACAAATCCCTCTCTCCTCCTTTCCTCTTCTCCTGTACTGCTAAGAAACAAAGAGTCTTCTACTCGTCCTAAAACCTCTGGACAATACTGTGAAGGACATTGATTCTACACTCGTGTCTACAGTGTTTACCTCTTGCCGCTAAATGAAATCTGAAGAAAATATGTGAACTGGACAGAAATATCCACAAATTACTTCTGTCCGATTTCTTTTTCAATGGACTATATTACTCTTACTACATGCAGATTTTCACTGTTAACAAAAACCTTTCTTTCTGTGGGACATTGGCCAGACGCTAACACATTCGCATCCACTGCTGTGACTGATAGCGTTTCACTAGTTTTAATCCAAAGTAAGGAAACTTAATTGATCTGGCGGTTGTCATATAAAATCAAATTGTTTTCTATTAGCAAATCTTTTACAGCAGCAGTACCTTTGACTGTCACCAACACATTTCTTTTTAAGCTCTTCAGGATGTTCTGAAATATTAAAATGAAACTTGCTTCCTGAAACAACAACAATTACTTTGGCAACTATGGTTGCAACAGTGTATTTAGACTTTTCAACCGCCCGTTTTCTTCCCCATAGCCCTGTCATACAGACTGATAATGAAAAATAATTTAAACTGATGTGCAAGAGTTTACATTCAGCCCATCATCATAAAATGTCATCGTGCCAACTAAGGTTATTATCACTCACAGCAGTCGACGCTCAGGTGTTGAGCAGCAGAGTTTGGATTCCTGGACGTGTCTCACATGACTTGGTGCATTTGTGTTGATGGTTAAATTTTGAAAAAATGGTGACAGGATCTGAGTGAAAGATAAAAACGCACAACCTATCAAGGCTGTTTCAGTTTTTTGTTTGACTGCCAGACTCACTTTCACAGTTCCAGATAAATCATAGCTTGTTAATTGGATGGTAAGAACCAGATTCAACTTCACCCCCTCTGCCCTACACCTTAACCCCCCCCCACTCCTCTCCTTGCCCCTCCCTC